CTGGTTGGTAGGAGGGTCTTGTAATTATTACACAGACCCCATCCATGTGCTGTTTTGGAGGACAAGTGGTCGCTGCTGGGCTGCAGCTAAAACACTTTACTCTTCCCCCTCTGTTATCCCCCAGATGTGGCTGAAGCTGACAGACTCCCTCTCACCCTATGCTGTGGGCTGGTTTCCCTTCTTTCAGTTCCCATCCAGTAGAGCGACATCAACCAGACTCCCCGCTCTTAGTGCACCAGGAGCAGGTGCTGCCATTCCCCTGCGGTCTGTTTCTGTCAGAAATAGGGATCTAGCTCCTCCAGATTTGGGCACCAGCTGCCACCAGCCCTTGTGGCAAATCACAGCACCAGTGACAGCGTAGGCATAGCCTACGGCTCAGGCAACAGAGGACAGGCAGCTGGACAGGCACAGGAAGCTCCCTCCAGCATGATGTCCACTCTCCCATTCCCTAGCAAAGGGCTTTCTGGCTCACTCTAGAATGGGAGGCTTGAGCAGCTCTATGATTTAATATTTTAAGCGCAGAGATAGCAAAGCTAAAAACATAACTAAGTAATGGCCCCAGATAAGGTTGCAAACTTTCCAATGGTGTAAAACTCAATACCCCATCCTCACCCCTCTCTCCTTTCATCCCTTCTTTCTCCATTGCTCGCTCTCCTCCAACCTCCATCACTTTCATCAGGCTTGGGAAGGTGGTCGGAGTGCAGGAGGTGGTATGGGCCCTGGGATGGGGCCAGAAATAAGGGGATCAGGGTGAGCGAGAAGGCTTCAGGCTGAGGTGAGTAGATTAGGAGATGATCTTCCCTCTTAAAAATGATTTTACACTCACATCAAAGGACCTGTAAATTGGTGCTCAGAGGCTGAGATTTTAGCTGGTAATTCGCATAAGATTTCTAATTCCATTATTCCTTACTAAATCTTAGATACATTGTGTTTTATTAATTCCACAGATAAATAATAAAAAAAAACAGTGCAGAAGAATCAAAACCCAGGATAGTTTGTTCAAGATTTTTAATGTTCTTGGCCTCTAGATTTTTGAATGAGCTGTGATCTACTGATTCTTCTTTGGGTGTTTTGACAATCTGCCTATAACACTGATGGGAATTTCTGCATGACTGTGTTAATAATGATTAATTTTCACCTGCAGAGCGGAATGCCCCTCATTATGTTTATTTCACTGAAAGGGAAATGTTTTAAATGCTACTATTTTAACCACTTTCTGCTTTGTGCAGGTCTCTAACTCCTTACAATTCCGTATTTCTATATTAATTACCCTGCCCCAAAAGAAAAAGCAGTGTCCAAAGAGCTACAAAATCTCTTCCTTTCTATTGGTATCAGAAAAACACTGAGGCTACTGAACTCTGCAAAGTACTTATAACTGAATTTACTAAGTTGGCTTCCCACTATGTTAAGTGTTCGAGTACTCTTAGGGTACATCTACACAGCAGCATTATTTCGGAATAACTGAGGTTATTTCGAAATAACAAAATGCGTGTCTACACAGCAAGCCATTCTTTCGAAATAATGTTGAGATAGAGGACTTCTTACTCTGACTCCTGTAACCCCCTTACTCCTCGTGAAATGAGGAAGTTGAAGGAAGAGTGTTCTCTCTTTGACTTCCTGCTGGGTAGACAGCACTAAAAGCCAAATTAAGCTATTTCGACTTCAGCTATGACATAGCTGAAGTAGCGTATCTTAATTCCATTTTTGCCCTGCTGTGTAGATATACCCATAGTAAGCTTGCTCTTACACAATACAAGGATTCCTCTAATCAAATCTGAAAACATAGCTAAATTGCTCAGGACTTTCTCTCCTTTGCTTTCAAACTATTTAAAATGTCTCCCTTTATTCTGAAGTGTCTTCAGAATTTCACTCCTCTTGGCCTGCACATTAGTGCTATAACTAAGCAGTTTCTCCCCCACTCTAAAGGTTCTAGCTTCTTCACCTCTTCCTAGGCTTTATTATGTGAAGTGCTGAAGTTGACAGGAATCTAGGGTGCTCAGCATTTCACATTAGGCCCAGAAATATTTTAATACACAAGCCAGCTTTTTGTCTTACCCACCTTATCTTTTCCTCCAGTTTTCCAGTTGTATCATCTTTCTCACCTTTCATTGTAGATGTGTTACCTATTTAGACCGTGAGCCTGCAGCAGAATTAGGGGCTTCTGTTTCAGGTCTTAAAAATAAATCCCAAGAATTAACAACACTGAACTTCTATGTAGATGTTAAAAAAACAACAACAAAAACCCAACCCAAACGGGGATTTTCAGGACTCTCTTTTTACATGCTGCAATGAATAAATGACGGAGGGCTCTTCTCATTGTGAATGGCGTCACCATGTGGCAGTTCTGGGGATTAACTCTGCCAGGCCAACACCCCTTCTAGCATCCATCTTTTCTCTCTCATTCCAGAAACTGCATCCTCTTCTTTATGGCTCAGGCCTCCATCCAGGTCACCACCTTATTACTACTCCAGGGATGAATCAATGTTTCTTCTCACCAGCAGTCTTAGGCACCCTTCCTATTCACTACCCCAGGTGAAACTCCCACACTGACTGGTAGCAGATCCCAGTCCTGCCTTCTTCTTGGAGTTCCAGATCAGTTAGTAGTCCTCTGTTCCCTCCTGAACCTTGCTGCCTTCCCCTGAGCTGCCTCTATACTGTCTAGCTGTCCCCACTCCTCTGGATTTGCCAGCCCAAATTCCCACCTGTCTCTGTAGCCCCAACCACACATTTCTCCCAGGGTATGATTGTAAGCTACTTCCCTGCAACCCATCCTCCTTGAGCTGGACTTCATCAGCCTGTTAGGCCTTAGCAGGCCCTAGCTTTCCTCCAGGTGCAGTCTGTAGGTTAACTGGTCTAATTTACTCCTCCAGATCTTGTCCTGTTGGGTGGATAGCTGAATCACAATGTCAAAACAGAGTGCTTCAGCATTTAACAACTACATATTTACACTTCAGGAAAAACATGACAAAACAGCGTCTGTCTCCACAAAGAGAGATGTCCCATAGTTTAGGATGAAAAGGGATCGTGGATGCAAAACCTTGACAGTCACCTGGCTGAAGCAAAAAAGTTATCTTGCCTGTAAATTGCACTGCTATGCCCCTGATTCAGGAGAAGGAGAGCGCTATAGTGCCAACCATTTATTAAATAACAACAGAGAGAACTTGGTAGAAACTTCTAGACAATCGAAACTCCTCTGCCTTTTTAAAGGGGGGGAGAATAGCAGCATCTCCTTTCCTTTTGACCCAAGCAGACAAATGTCATGGTGAGGGTTCAAAAGTTTAGCTCTGAAGAGGAAAGAAACAGACAGAAGATCACCCCCATCAGCAGAACTAACACATCTGAAAAACACAGATGTCACAAACCACCAACTGGAAGCTCTTTGGTTACTCAAGAGGCTTTACACAGAATTCATTGCCCTCTGGGAGTAGATATTGGCTCTGTTGGGGAATGAAGAAGGAATCATCATTCTAGACCTTTTAAATACAGAGGGAAAGGAACTACCAAACAATAGGATGCTATATTCTCTCTGTATGCAGCAGCTGACATTTCAGCTTTTGGCGTTGGGTTGCTTGTGACTTTCTGGTATCAGATTACAGAGACACAGACATGTCTGCCTTCTTTCATTCTGAAAAGCTCCCTGCAGTGATAAGAAATTACCATTCCCACAAAGGCAAGGATCAGAGCCCCAAGTCTACAACACGGCACTCACTGAGTTCTTTTAACGCCCATGAGTACAGTGAGTACTATGCGTTAACATTATTGCTGCAAGAGGCTTTGAAAATTGATCCTACCCTTAGCTGAGAATTGGCAGAATTCCAAAGACTTCCATTCCATTTCTCAACTCCATGATGAACACATGCAAAGTATGGATGCAGAAGTATATATGATTACATACTGTCACTCCTTGGCACTTGGTTTGATTTTGATGCATTACAATATAATAAAGTATTGTACAAGATCAGTATGTCCTTCAACTGTCCATTTTCTTTTTCAATTATTCCTCCTCACAGTAATTGGTTTGAATACAGAGATAACTGTGTAAAATCTTTCACATTATTAATGCCAAAAGGTTGGAGAGACACTGTAAGGTTTAGCTAAGACAAACTGCTGCTCAGCACATACTAGTTTTAAGCAGCTGGGTGCATCAGTGTAAGCATGTTTACATACATTTTCTTCTAGTGCTTTCTTCTAATGAACACAAAATAACTTCATCTCTCCATACTTAGTTGCTATACGAGTAATAAAAGGATTCAGTTTGCCCAACAAAGAGAAAAAGGAGCTAAATTCTACTGTCAGATATACCAGTGTAAATCCAGACTGATTCTACTGAAATGGAATTATTGTAGATTTACAGAGGTCAGAGACAGGAGAATTAGGTTCAATGTGGTTTGGTAAATTAGCAAATGCAAAGCTGATGGGTAGTTGTTCAGAAAAGCATTACAGCTCAATTCACTTTAATGAGAGATTTCTTTTATCAAACTGGCAGCAAGAAATGAAGGGATTTAAAACTTGTTAACCAACTGGGAAAAGGATTATTTACGCTCTCAATGTTGGGTTTGTTTTTGTCCAAGATGTACAGCAAAGGCTGGACGGACTCTGAGCAACTGAAGGGCAGCTCAGTATATGATATATGCTAACTGGGAACTATGCTTTTTCCACCACTAATTCAAGATGAACAGGCATCCTTAAAATTAGGGGATTTAAACTCCCTCTCCAAATCCTCTTTCTTCTAAAAGGCCCCTAAAGCAAAGAGGAAAAGGCTTTGTATAGAAAGTGGTCATCTCTCTCCGATACTTGAGCACCACGAACAACGACTAGATAAGAGTGTATTAATTTTTCTCAGGCCATTTCCCTTTTCAATCAAATGCATAACTCCAATACAATTTCTGAGCCTTTACTCTCATTTGTGTGTTTTAAGGAGGTGTAGTGCAAGGCAGGAAACAGGTAGTGCACTTAAAAAAAAACCAAAAAAAAAAACCTTGAATGCTACATTGGCTAAATAAGCTTTTAAAAAAGTTATATTTATTTATATATACACACACACACATATATTAACCAAATTAAATCCAAACCTGGCATGAGGACTGTCCTTTCACCACATTAAAGGAGGGGCCTATTTTACAGAGCACAAAAACTGCAGCTGACTTCCCCAATTACATCAGCCTGGTCAGAAGAGATTAAAAGGAAAAACTAATGAGTGTAAGAGAAAGAAACAGAAGTGAGATCACAACAAAGATGTAGCTATACCATTTCTACACACAATTTTGCACATCCATCTCTGCTCTGTGTTCTTAGTGGGCACCACCTGCTGGGACCTCATAACATGTAGTGCCTAATTCTCTATTCACACGTGACAGGTCTCCTGCATCTCCCTTTTTCTTCTCCTATTCTTCATCTTCTGTCCCACAATGTGTCTCCTGTTTTTCCAGATCAGATTTAGATGTGAGTGTTCAGTTAGGGTATAATTTAAAAAGTGGATGAGCTCTTAATACTATTTCCACAAATAAAATATTTTCTTGTAAAAAAGTTATACAATAAAAGACTATTAAAATTCTGCAGGTTTCTGGCAAGTGAAAGCTATTCAGGTTTGGAAATTTGGCCCAGAGGCCTTTGTCTTCAAAAACCTGCAGACTGCTGAAATTCAGCTGGCAAGAAGCATGCAGTACATGGAACTTATACCCAATCAAAGTAAGTATGGAATAAGACTGGGAAAAGGCTATAGTATTGAAACAAAATACTGTGAAGCAGCAACTGGCCGTAAACGAAGTGTCCCATTTATGCTACACGGTACGCTTTCAAGAGTGTGAATTCCTTCCTGTTGGTGCGGGCTGCCCAGATGAAGAGGGCAGCTGCCATAAACTGTAAAGGAGCTGAGACACAAGCTAGGCAGAAGGACCAGCCAAATTCACCCTGCACATCATCAGGTGGGGGCAGCTTCTGATGGAGCAGCTCAATTCCAGCTACATAGCAGCTGACTGAGCCCAGCGTACACAGACCTGGGGAATAAAACAATAGAGAATAATCAGCTCAGATGTTCAGACTGATATGACACTGTTGGGAGAGGGCTAGAGTACATAACAGGACCCACCTGCAATGAAATGTAGGACTCCTATGGCAATGGCAGGGTAGAGACTGCGACAGACACAAGCACAGAGGCCAATCAAAACCCCAAAGCACATCAGTCCTAAGCTGACGAAGGGTAGGAGGAACTGAAAACGCCAAAGATCTGTGTATGAGAGAGACAGACATCCACACGTATGTTAAAGATATGGCAGTGCCTGACATTCTTCCTCCCCACCTGTGTTCATTCCCATATACTACTCTATCAGAGCCTTCCAAACTGAGCTAGAAAGAACCTCTACCTTCTTTGAAAAGAGAGGGAGGAACATGAATGCATGTTAATTTACTGAGTTTTCCCACAACACTGCTCTCCAAGTTAAACCTTCCCTACCCCTCTGCGACTTCCCTACAGCAACGAAACAAAGTACAGTAAAACTCCAATAGTCCGGCATCCAACTGTTCGGCACTCCTGATACTCCGGCATCAAAATGGCAAGTGCTCCTGACCAGCTGATTAAAAAGCCTGCTGCTTAGCACATGCACTGGCTATAACCAGAGGGAGCATAAGGTTGGGGGAGGAGGAGGAGGGACTGGGATCGTGTTACAGTATGGAGAAGAGCATTTTGCTTCAGCAAAGGGGAAAGGGGAAGGAAGGGGGAGGAGGATCAGGTTACAGCAGGGAGGAGATGAGAAGAGGAAAGGGGAGGAGATAGGGAGGGAGATTGTGTCCTGGCCAGCTGTTAAGCCATGCAGTTGTACCGGACCTGCTGATTCTCCGACAAATCTGATAATCCGGCACCATCTAGGTCCAAAAGGTGCCGGATTATCTGAAGTCTTCTGTACCTACCTTTGCCTTTAAGTCATGACTAAGAACCAGGTGGTTATATGAAGAATTAGCCAAAGTGGACAGATTGAAATAGTTACTTCTCTTCTTATTCTCTCGCTAATTGTTGAATCTGAAAGTGAAAATATCCTCTTTTCCCTTTCCTTCCCAGCCTTCTTTATCATGCACATCTACCTGCCAGAGGTGAAAGACACTTACAGGTCCGATTCAGGTCACTGCCACTATTGTGGTTCCCAGGTTCCATGTACTTCTCAGCAAATTGATCGGAGAGGGAAAAACTGATGCAGCTTCTCACCATATCAGTTTCTGGGGGTGAGGGAAGAAATGCAAACACCAGGGGGAGAGGGAAGAAATGCAAATCATCTTAGTTGGAAAATAAGGGATATATTTAACAATTCTGCTCCCACCCAGAATCTGTTCTTTTTACATGAGAAATCCCTCAGGTGAGAACAGGTCCTCAAAGTAATCTGTATAGATTCCCCCCTTCATCCACTGCTTCCTGGCTCAATTCCCATCATATCTTTATAGCCAAAGCAATAAATAACTCCCTCACAGTTCAGCACTCATTTCTTTCCCAATTTAAGAGCATTATGTCCCCTCATCAGAAGGATAAACAATTCAGTCATACTCTGAGAGGCTCATTTTAATGAGAGTCATTATTAGGAGTTACAATAGTCTTACATCAGAGAGAAATACTAAAAAATTGGTCACCCAAGTTTTCTGTCAAGCTAGCTTCATAGATAACTGCCTCATTCGTTACATGACATTCAGGAAGGTTGTTGTGGTAGTTGAAAATGTACCTAATAAGTAAGTGCTAACCAAATTATTAAAGTTAGTGCTTAACTATGCAACCATGACTTTTTCTTTATATTGATCTTCCATTAAAATAAGTGTATTATATATTTTTTCAATGTGTGACAAAATTAAAATATGCAGCATCTCTAAGTAATCTAGAGAGGTATGTACCAGCACTTATTAAAACAACAGCTTGAAATAAGTATGATGCATGAAACCCAAATATTGTATGATCAGCGAACTTCATTCTTTAAATCAGGTATCTAAGTAAAGCAGCTGTGATTACCTCAATGCCTCGTTAAACATTTCATGGAGCATAACCTATAAAACGATGCTTTTGAGTAGAGCTGGTTGAAGTTATCAATATCGTTCATTAAAAATGGAATTGCACTAAATATGCTTCCATGGGAAAAAATAGTGACAATTTTTCATTTTTGGAAAAAAAAAAAAAAATGACTCTCTAAATAAAAAATTTAAAACTCACGCAATTTACGGGTAATCAACATTTTTCCTTTAGAAACTGTATGAAAATTTTCATCTTTTCAACCACAGTTTTCCTTCATTCTAAGATGAAACAGGATTGGTTTACACCAGGGTTTCCCAACTTATGGGTTGGTACCCATATATGGGTTGCCATTACATTTCAAAAGCATCACCAGGTGTATCCCCAGTCGGCTCTTAAGGAACCATTCACACATTTTTTGAATTGCTCTGGGTCACCAAATCTTCCCGAATTGTCAAAATGGGTCCCCATCTGGAAAAGGTTGGAAACCGCTGGTGTACACTATATCTAATGTTGATATACCTATGTCACTCATGGAAAAATCCACACCCTCAGTGTAAAGATCATTATATTGATAGGAAGCATCTCCTGTTGACATCTCCGTGAGAGGCGGTGGTGGCTGTCGGATACCTACACTGATGGAAGAAGCTCTCCCACTGGCATAAGTGCAGCTGAGCTGCTGTAGCATGTGTTGACAAGACCTTAATATATCAAATCCTGGTCCTCTAACACTCACTAGCAGCTGCACAAGTCTTTCTTTTTGCAGAAAATCTTCCTGGAAAATGAGGTGATACCCCATTTTGAGAAAATACTGTTTGATATCCAACACTTAAATTGCAACTCCAGGCCGGAAGGAGCAGGGGAAGTGGAAGGAAATGCTGTTTGGAGAATAGACTAGTTACCTGGTGGACTGTACCAGTGAGAGTTTTTGGGCATAGTGATACATCTCCGCCACAATCCAACTGTGCCGTTGCACCGGAACAACGCATCTGTATAAGTCTTCTCATCTGCTTCCTCACTGATGAATTCATCCCAAATACTTTTGCCAAGTTCGCTGGCATTTTCAGCTGGTGAGGGACTGTGGTACTCATACCAGAAATCTGTACCAATTGAGGCTGCCATATAAATGGTGGAAATGAGGCAGAGCACACAGGCAATTACTAGAGCTGTAGCAAAGCGGTTATCCATCATGGTGTCTCAACTGCCAGGAAATTTAAAAAAAAAAAAAATCAGAAAGAGGATCCATTGATAATCATGATAAACCCCTACTGATACTACAAGACTGAACATGCTGAGATAAACTGCTCCCTTTATTCCTTAACCAGTCCCTTCCTGGATGCAGAAGATCTCTCCCTTTTCTTGTTCGAGATGAGGCATAAAGAAGCTATATTTCCTTCCAAATTTTGAACCCTCAAGTGATTATAAATGGCCAAAGTGTTGAGTGAACATTTAAGATGAAATTTTAACCCTTTTTACCGCAGTAAACCTACTTCACTTGACTGCCCTTCCTATTAGTGCCCATACCCAATGCAACATCATTTGCAAGAGACATCCACTCATGCTCAGTTACCATGGGTGTATACATTTACATAAAAGAAACAGTCACGCTTCTAGCCCCAGGTAAGACTCAGTAGGAGTAGGAAGCAGAGACAGCCATGGGTGTCTAACCATAGTATAGACACACCTTTAGTGACTGAGAGAGCAGAGGGAATTAAGAGTTATAAATCTTAGTAGTGATGTCTCACACTTTTCTCTTTTGTTCACCAGGATCTAAAATTGCTTTATAGAAGGTATATTCAGTAGCAGTGAGTCTGTCAACATACTTGGTCCCATACAACCTAAGTTATGGCAAACAGGTAACAAGTGAGCTTAGAGTCTAAAAAGGGATGATGGACACAACCCTGAAGCAGTAATGCTCTGTCAAATATTTTATTTGTATACATCTTTATTAAAGTAGGTAAGGGAGGGAAATTGTTGTACATTGATTTCAACAATAAGAAGAGACGTGAAAGAATGCTCAAAGCATGAAGTAAGTGAAGGAGATAGAGATGTCAACAAGAAAAAGCTCTTTTCAAAGCAGCAAGAAATGAAAGAGGGGTTAGGGTGGAAAGAATAAAGTCAAAGGTTTCAATAAGAAGCAGCTTACACTTTATATAGAAAAGGGAAAGTCTTAGAGTTGAAAAAAAAAAGGGAAAGTCACAAAGCAACAAGAAAGGAAGATAATTTTACAAGGAAGATAGGGGTGATGGGAACATGGGTGGCTAGAGAGGAGGTGGAATCAGCCTCAAAAAGAGTTCAAGAATACTTACTCTTTGGGGAATTCTGAACTACAAATGCAAAACATGTGCAAAACATGCCCCCTGCAGATTCCTGCTCCTCCCTGAAAATTAATTCTGCTAGGGAGATGCTGTAATTACAACCCACCAGGTGCCAGAAGAGAGGGCAGCTACTTCCAGGCAACAGAAGCTAGCCAAAAAGTGGGATGAGTAGGAGAAGCTGTTTTCTTCACAGTACCCTGCCCACAGGGCCAGATGAGGAGGCACGGGATGTAAAGGGGAGGACACCGACAGCGCAGGGAACATGGGGCTTCTGGGAAGGCACACAGACTAGAGTTCAAAGGGGCTAGTTGGGAGCAGGACAGGCAGGATAACAAAAGTTAGTAGGGTGACAGTATTAAGCCAGGGTCTGAATGGGAGTGGTGGTGCAAGGAAACATGGGGATGGGAGAGTTGGTGTACAAGGACACAGAGGAACATGTGCAGACAGAGCCACCTCAAGGGAGGGTGTGGGACTGGGACAATCCCCCTTTGCCCCAGGCCCCACCAGACCTTTTCCTGCCCCTGCTTCGCCCCCTCTCCATCTGTATTCCCGCTGAGATTTTCCAACCATGAGCAGAGCGGGTTTCAACTTGTGCACCAATATTGAGGTCATGTGCGCTGGTTTGGAGGTGTGCCAATTTGTCACCCAATTTATTTAACACGTTCCCGGCTACCAGAGTAGAAACCCTCCCCCACACACCATGCAGCATGTCTCGTCCCAGCTGCCAGAGCAAACACTGCCTACTTCCCTCCATGACTCTGGCCATGCGACATGACCCATTCCGTTGTCGGAGTAGAGCCCCCTCTCCCCCCTGCCATGCAGCAAGTCCTGTTCCCAGCCATCAGAGCAGACCCTGCACACCCCTGGCCATGCAGCATGTCCCATTCCTGGCCACTGGAACAGACCCTGCCCCCTCCTGGCAATGCGGCGGATCCAGTTCCTGGCCTCAGCAGCCAGAACAGGCCCCGCTCCCCTCCACCTTTACTGCAATTTAAGCCCACTGCTTCCTGCCCTGTCTTCAGAGGTTAAGAAGAATAATTGTTCACTCATCTCCTTGTAGCAACCTTGGAGGTGCTTAAAAGCTGTTATTATTAGAGCTCTGCGTGGACACAAATTTGTGTATCTGCATCTGCAAAAATGAGCCACAGACAGCCCCATGAGGATGCCCATAGGTATAAAGCACATATGCACAAATGAGCTGTAGATAGTCACAGATTTGTGAGGCTCTAGTTATGTCCCCACTCAGGCATATTCTCTTTTCCAGACTGAACAACTCTAGTTCTTTCAATCTTCCCTCACAGGTCACATTTTCTAGCCGTTTGATCATTTTCGATGCTCTGCTCTTGACTTTTCCCCTAATTTGCCCACCCACTTTCCTGCACTGTGACCCCTATTGCGGTAAGAGGACAATACTGAATTATCCTTTTACTGCTGTGGGGTGGGCAGGGGAGGTTTCGCAAAGGTGACAGGCACCAGCCTCTGAGACAAGGACACTGTGGGGAGAAAGGGGCATGACTCAGAGTGTAATAACATGTCTTTAAGGGAATGAAAACCAGTAAGGCACAAAATCCCCAACAGAGGGGAAAGAAAAAACCTCAGTAAGAGGACAATACTGAATTATCCTTTTACTGCTGTGGGGTGGGCAGGGGAGGTTTCGCAAAGGTGACAGGCACCAGCCTCTGAGACAAGGACACTGTGGGGAGAAAGGGGCATGACTCAGAGTGTAATAACATGTCTTTAAGGGAATGAAAACCAGTAAGGCACAAAATCCCCAACAGAGGGGAAAGAAAAAACCTCATCCCCCCCTCAGCCTACCCCCCCAGCCCCTCTCTGCTCCCTCAACCCCCCAACGCACAGCCCC